GAGAGTGACTGTATGGCAGTGAATCCATCTCAATATTACTTTCATTTTTGATTACTAACTAGACTTTGACTTCTCCTCATTATTGTCTAAGAGCAACTGTTCTCTAGCATTGCAATGACTTGTCTGAACTCTGACAGCTTCAAAGCCCTCAAAGGGTATTTCTAGACATGCAATTGCCACACCTTGTGTGTGAATTTTGCCGATGTATCACAGAATATCATCATCCAGTTGTGATCAACCTGTGTTTCCCCTCCACTCTTTCCACTTCTTTTCATATGACATTTATTCTGGAAAGAACAGAGGAGAAGCACAATCTTTTTGCTGGCATGGTTAGAAAGATTAAGGTGGCATAGGAAATTATCATGCTATGTTGTTATAGTATTATTATTCCACTTTAACTAACAGGACAACATCCTATGAAATCCTGCCATTTGCAATAAAGGGAAGGCAATTCAGAATTATCAGCCAATGTGTCCTTGGGCCTGACTAAACTCCAAGTCGCAGAATACGATGGGATGCAACCATTGCTTTTGAAGTGGAATAATAGCCCTGAGGAAGGTGAATAGCATGTGAAGATAGGTGATGTGGTGGGAAGTTCTTGCCTTTCTCCACATACTAAGCATGTTCTAGTCAGAGCCAACTTAAGAAGCAGCCAAGTTGTGTAACTGTCAATTTCCAATATCTGATAAGATCTCAAAATGAAATTGCCTGGACCAGAGATTGGGCATTGCCCAGTTAAATAGATGGGTTGGGATTTAAAGCTCCATCCTCAACTATGTTGATTTAGAATAGTGATTCTCAAACTATAATACTCTAGGTGTTTCAACTCCCAGAAGAACAGGTGCCTTGATCAATGATCTAGGATTCCGGGAGCTGAAGTCCAAAACACTAGTTTAGAAGTAAACTTAATTGTCCTTTGCTGCAACCACTCTTTCTCAAAGGAATTCAATAGGTGAATGCACACACAGGGAGAGAAGGAGGGCAGTCTGCAGTATTTCTGTTTCAAAACCTGTGAAACATACACTGGGGTGCTAACCTAACACTGGGAATGTACTATGTGGATGTCCATTGCAAAGGGATTGGAAAAGAGAGAGGAAGGCTTCATTTCCCTATCCTCATTTAGTGCAGAAATCCTTTGAGGTCACTAATGTTCTTAATTATGCATGGAAAGTATTGCGGTTAACAAGCCATGATTCCATCTAGGAAGGATTTGTATCCATGCTGCCTGAGCATGGATACAGTAGTCTGTCCAGTAGACTACTTTTATCATTTCATGGTCCCACATCCTGATTTGGAAACTCACACCCATTATCCAAACATGATAGTGTCATCCTACTGATATCAAGTTGGAGCTTCTGATAATGAAAATCTGCCCAACATAATAGAAGTATCAGTCTTCAGCACTGCCCTTAATCTAATAGGAAGCTGTTGAGAGTTGGCAAAATGTGGGGTCACAACCAATTCCCTGCTTTTGTGTTCCTTAGGTCTTTACAGATTCCTTGGATGTTGCATGTCTGGCCTTTGAACGGTGGATTGTCTTTACTGGAAGATTCTGGGAGTCAACACCAACTTTTCAACAAACTCCTTGCATTATTCAATATTAAAAATGCAACTTGCCAAAACCTGAAGTGCAATCCTGACCACTTTCAATTGGTTGATTGGTTCATTTGCATTTTCAATTGTCTACATGGACTCTTCCTAGATTCTGAGTGACCTAATGTCGCGCTCAGGACTGTTGCAATTGACCACCCTATGTAGGCTGGTATTATCTACTTTGACTAACATAAATTATTTTCCACAGTTTTGGGCAGGAATTTCTTAGCCGTACTTGAATAATCTGGCATTACCTACTGTCTTCCATGCAAGCATTAATTAGGCAATGTAGATTCCCAAAACAGATGTGGCTGGGTGTGTTTAGGGTGGCACGATGGTTCCATGACATAATTATGTTTAGTAGTAGGTATTGATTATGGTTGTGTGCCTTTAAGTTGTCTCCATCCTATAGTGAGCCTATGGTAAACTTATCTCAGGATTTTCTTGTCTAGTATAACCCTATTTGTTAGAAGAGTTTATACCTATCCCTACAATGTAAAACATTTTCTAGGTCAGTGGTTCTCAACCTGGGATCCCCAGATGTTTTTTAGCCCACAACTCCCAGAAATCCCAGCCACTTTACCAGCTGTTAGGATTTCTGGGAGTTGAAGGCCAAAAACATCTGGGGACCCCAGGTTGAGAACCACTGTTCTAGGTGCAGAAACTACCTTGAATATTGAACAAGTTGATTCATACAGATGACTAATATAAAATTAAGAGCATGAGTACAGAAAGCCATTTACTAGTTTGTCCACTGTCACATTGACCATAGAACTAACAGCTAAATCACGTTTGTTATCATTTTGCCAAATAAGAAGGAAGCCTACCTCCCAATCTAGATGGCCATCTCCTTCATTCTGAGAAACTCATTGTGTTACTGCACTTACAGAAAAAATGGTGTCTTAGGAGCTCAGTCTTGTTTGTTTGTTGGATTTATGTCCCACCTTTTTACTGAGTTGGGATCAGAGGAATAGGTCTTATTCCGCTGTGGGGTTTTGGGGGACCACCATTGTCCTCCTCCTCAACTGTTCTAACTGTAATGGGTTGGGAAAGAGCTGCAAACCTGGCCCCGCCTGTGTCTCTCAGTCTTCCAGATATGAGCAGATTAATGTAGAAAGAAGCCACGGGGAAACACCACTACCTGCTTTCTCATAAATAGGGACCACGGATGTCCCTGACATTTCTTGCTTCCTTATAACAATGTCAGCATACCTCAGCCTCCTCTTTCATAACAGCTCTCTTTAAACTAAAAAAAGACTAATCAACTGGGACTTTTAAACTGGACCATCTTTTCCTCTAGACAATCAAAGAACTAGATCATATTAATACAGAAGAATCTCATTTCTCCAACTATCCATAACATATAGGAACAGGAAGTTTCTATAAGAAGTTTCATCTTCTTTACATGGTTGTATATTGACCTGAAGCTACATGGTTGGCACAAAATTCATAGTTGGGAGGGAGAGAGAAGTGGTTTGAGATTACAACAATAAACAAATACAGAGGGCAAATAGGCCTGGTATTTCCACCTGGACTGGCTCAGATATGCTAGGGCCATCAGATGATGCTGCCAACCACCAATAAACCAAAATGGACATTTGTTGTAGGGCAGTTGTTGTAGGGCAGATGAGCATAATATATACCCCTTTTGGTTTGTTTACTCAAATACTTCATTCTTTCCTTTTAGAAATGGTGTTTCCTCCCAAATAAAGGTATTGAAAAAAAATCTTTTTTATCCCCTGTGGCATGACACTTCCAGCATTTCGGTTGGTGTAAAATGTAAACATTGCATGCTCAAAAGTTTTTCCCCTTTTTCTTTTTCTAGGTCTGGGTGAACTGTCTTGTTTGTTTTCTGTTCTAACACGTCAGGCACATTGAAGCGGTTGTAAAGCATAAAACTAAGGATGGGGTGGAGAAACTTTAATTGTGCACTTCCCAACTGAAAGAAGACACACAGTTTGTTTTTTATGCTTGGTTGTTATTTTTAAATGAACTACAAAAGTTTTAATTTAATTTCAGGGATGATGATTGTTATCTATTTTATCAATGTCATCATAGGGGCAAGGCAGTATATATTGTCCTGCAATTTATTGTCGAAGGCTTTCATGGCTGGAATCACTAGGTTCTTGTAAGTTTTTTCCGGGCTATAGGGCCATGTTCTAGAGGCATTTCTCATGACGTTTCGCCTGCATCTGAGGATGCTTGCCATAGATGCAGGCGAAACGTCAGGAGAAATGCCTCTAGAACATGGCCCTATGTCCTGCAATTGTTTGTGCACCAATAAAATGTAAATTAAAAAGTTTTGAAATAATCTCCATGGCTGGCTAAGGCATCGAAAATTATCTAGGTGCAGCACTGATGGGTGTCATTTTTGGATGGTGTTCCTGTGGATAAATTGTGGCATTCACGTAATATATGTGTGCAATGAGTTTGAAGGGCAAAGGCCACCATTTTTATAAGCGTATGATTCATAGATAATATTGTGTAAATGCATTTTGAACTTGGGAACAGATTCCAGAGTAAAAAAAAATGCCCCACAGTGAAATCGTTCAAAATAGCTTGGAATGTCTGAGTGAGAAAAGAATGTGCTCGTCTGTCCCTTTACACTTCCAGGACAATCTTTAGTGACAATGAGCAATCCTGCTGTTCAACATGACATCAATTTTTTTTACTAATTAAAGGCAAGGACCAATTATATCCAATTGCTCCCTTTGTCCCACAACACATTGATTAGTTCATGTGGTTTTAATAGCAGGCAACTTTTCAGAAAGCTTTTCTCTCACACAACCTTCAGAAGTATTGTTTTAATAATTAACATTATTTTCTATTAGCCAAGGTGTGTCTGTGCAAACACAGAACACTGGCACATTGCTGGATTTACATTTCAGAATAGGCTTGCACTAAATTAAAGTAAAAACAAAAGTTTTCCCATGAATACTGAGAGCTGAAGTTCATTTCACAAAGCTGATAGACAAGCAAAGAACATCTGTATCAGTGCTTGCATGCTTGCTTGCTCTCTCTATCACTCTCACACATGCACACACATATGCCTCTACCTCTTTTGGATCTAACACAATTCAAGACAAATTGAGACCTCTTTTTTAAAAAAGTAATAAGACATTCATACTCTGTTATATAACTCCCTGCTCAAGAAGGCATTTCCTGGGGCCTATGGGATCTTTCGTCTGGGGATAGGGATGTGTTGTGCCACCCAAATGACGCTGAGAAAATTCTGCCCTTTTCCCCTTATTTCTATATTTAACTTCTTTCAGAGCTGTAGATTACAAACTGTGCTCCCTTTTCCAAATACACACACACACACTTCCTTAACTATGCAAAATGTTGTACTGTGGCTTCATGGCAAACTCCGGGCGAAACAATGTCAAACACAGAAATGCATGGCTCACCTTTGGCTCAGAAGAGTCAGCTGGAATCTGCCAGCTTCTGAAGTTTGTTTTCCACTTTTCAGCTCCCTCTGCTTACTCCAGGTTTTCTGCCATTCTCAACTTCCCTAGGCTTCCTCCTCTGCTCTATTCAGCAAAAGTAGGACGACTGATGTTCACCAGCCTCTTCCTGCTCCTAGAATTATAAGGCTGGAGAGAGAAGCACAATCTCAACGCTGGTTGCCTCCTGCTTCTTGTTCTCTGTCCCCTTTTCCTTCCCGATCAGACTTTCAGGCTTCTCTGAGAGCAGGTGGAAGGGCTTTCTGTGTTCAGTAAGAGGAGGAGAAGGAGGGAGGGAGAGGTGGAGCCACAGCCAATGCCACAGGTTACTGTATAACCAGAAGCCTGGGCGCCTGCGAGCCTAGTATCTCTGCTGACACCTGGTGCAACACAGAGAAGCCAGAACAAGCCACTGCCTGTGAAGGTTGCAGGATGGGCTTTATTTGTTGCTTGGCTTCCTCCTTGAGAATTTTTGGATCCCAGAAGCCAGGAAAGAGAGCCTTGGCTTGAGTTGGGTTGTGTTTTGTTTCCCCGCTCACAGGGCAGGGTGGGGAAATGACCAACCTAGCTTCTCTTGGTAAGGAAACAAGTCTACCTTTGTCAAGCAGAAGCCAGCCCTTAGAGGACGGCGGCCGACTTGTGAGCCCTCTCTGTCTGGCGCGATGTTCATCCTGCCAGTATAAGCGGTGCCCACCCTGTCCTGGCATCGTAAAGGTGGAAAATTTGCTTCAGATTTGTGGGATGGAACTGAAAGCATCTTTCAGACTAAAAGTACAGAGAACTACAGAGACTAGAAGCCTTAACAGCAATATTATGGAGGGATGTTGTGGAGTGGTAGGAAAAGCGGAGAGGGGCAACTGCAAACAAAGCAAAGCCAGTTTTCCCTTTTTGTGCCTATTCTGCCCGGTCAAAGTGGAAGAATGTGGATTCAAAAGACTTCCAAAATTCAGCAATAGGGAGGAATTTGAGACTCTAATTATTACAAGTGTTTATTGCATAACCATTGATTCAGAGGTTAACTGCACACATCACATAGTTGAGCCATCCTGCTTAGGATCAATAACTTGGAACGAATAGGGGTTTTTTTGGTGTGTGCTGGGAGGGAAAGAGGGAGCCAGTCTAGGAAATCAAGAAAATGAAGGTATTTAGACAAATAGGGTTATATTCATTTATATGAAATGAAGGGCAATGTTTCCTTTGACTTCAGTGGCTTTTGACTTGGATCCAAACTATGAGGCAAGCATTTCACAAATAGAAAATTTTAGCCCAGTCCTATGAATATTTATCTAAATGCAAGTTCAGCTAAGTGCAATGGTACTTAGCTCTGTGAAAACTACTATGAGATTGTAGTCTTAGCATTTTGCTTCTTAACTGTTTGACTGCAAAATCCAACAAAACAAGAGCAATGTTCACAAAGCAGAAATCTCAGAAAAATAGATTACTCTTCCCTCAGTCTGTAGAACATAAATGGCTATTGTATATTGAAACTAGTCACCGTGGTTCTCAACCTTTTGGTCCCCAGGTGTTTTAGCCTATAACTCCCAGAAATCCCAGCCACTTTACAGCTGTTAGGATTTCTGGGAGTTGAAGGCCAAAACATCTGGGGACCCATAGATTGAGAACCACTGAACTAGTGTCTCATAGAGGTATTTGTGCTTCTGACTTACAGCATCTTCGCAAAGTAGGAAGTAAGCCTCCCCCACATCTGCTATGTTTGTGGGTGCCTTTAATCAAAAGCATATAGTCTACAGTTGGGCCACTGAGTCTGCCATAACAGCAATATTATGGAGGGATGTTGTGGAGTGGTTGGAAAAGCAGAGAGGGGCAACTGCAAACAAAGCAAAACCCGTTTTCCCTTTTTGTGCCTATTCAGCCCAGTCAAAGTGGAAGAATGTCACTCCCGGCTACCATATTGACTGGTGTTCAGCCATTTCCCCCTTTTATTTTTGGTTGGTTTTGGGGCAATTTGGGGGAATAAGGATACTTGTTTTAATGTGGTTTTAAGAGAGTTGGCATGGTTTGGGACCCAAAGATTGCTCACAAATTAGGGGATATGGTAAGTTTGGGGTATTAGAGTGGCTCACAGAATACACATGGGGGGCTACTTTGTGGCACATTGCTTACCTCTGCAATCGAGATTCATTTTATCTTAAATCTTGCAGTCCTAAATTGGGAGAAAGCTGGGGTATAAATAAATACCATGATAACAACAGCATTCAAAAGGAATTTTCTCCCTCAGAAAAGTTGTTTCATGTGCCTTCAAATTGTTTTCAACTTTTGGAAACACAACTGTGAACCTATCATGGGGTTTCCTTGGCAAGAGGGGAGGTTGTTTGTGCCTTGCTCTGAAGGTGAGGGACTATGACTTGCCCAAGTTACCCAGTGGGTTTGCATGGTCATACCGGGATTCTTCCAATGTCACTGTCCAAGGTTCAAACGGTGACACCACGCTGGCTGTCTCCTTGGCCAAATGCATTTCCTTGATACAAATAATCTGAACTTCCTGCTATCAAGGTGTTTGATGATGACCCATTCCAGTCACAACTTCTTCCTTGTGATAAGCTTATCTGTATGTTGGTGCAACGGAGACTTGTTGTGTGACTGCTATAGAGTTTAACTTTATCTGGGACAGAAAGGTTGTAGATACATTGTGGAGTAGCTCACTTCAGGGAACACAAAGAGGCAAAGGTTGCACTGTGTTTTAAAAACAATGGAAAGAAAGCAGAAATTAACAAGATTAACATACAAACCTAAACATGATTAGCTTTTTGAAGAAGGATGTGTCTGAGACTAGAAATTAACATAACAAAACTGAGCTTGCTTCAAGATCGACTTCTAAACAAGCATGTTTTGGTATAATACTGAGTTATTAGACTCTGACAGTTTTCTGGAAATAGTCCAGTTTGATCATTTCCATGATTTCCTCAACTTTGTGCAGACTCTAACCATCCACAGAATGCATTAACCTAATTCAGTAAGGAAGAGATGATAGAAATATTAATTAGAAAGGATATATAGTGTTCCAGTGTAGGATCTGAGTGGATTAACAAATAAAGGCCTTTAGTATTTGCACATAGGAATCTGCAGGCACCAAAAGAGCAATGGCAAATGGTTTGGGAACACAATTTGCCAAGATGATAGGTAATTGTGTCCTGAAATGGTAAACCTGGTCTCCCAACTATTATTCTAATTGGAAGCAACCAGCCTTCCTATAAGAAAGGGTGCAATCAGATATTTTCAACAGTGTATCTTACTTTAAAGCTTCTAATATAATTTTTCTGAAAATATAGCACATCTAGGTGGATAGCTTATCAAGCAATTTGTAACACCAAGAACTAGTGTCACCAACATATTCCATAAGCTAAAGACTTTTAAATTTTAGAGAAGTACCTTGAGAGAAGAAACTATGGGAAAAAAAACCCAGAATTCATTACACATTTGTAGCATTTTTAAAGACACAGTTTTATGAAAAAACTGGTTTCTGTGCCAGCTATGTACATCTCCCTTTTTATTACTCTGGTCAACATATGTTTTGGTGACCTGCTGATTCCAAAAATGGCACCAGTTTTCCCCCATCATCTCTAGCTTTTGCGATACATAACATACAGCATCTACCAGTCACCATCTCTTGCCCATAGAAAATAGAGTGGATGTGGTCTACCCAATGCAATTTGCCGAACCAGTGTCCCAAATAACTCTAGGAACAAGCCTAAAAACCAAAATCTTGGTGTCTTGGTTATCACTTGGATGTCATCAAGGTATATTGCAGCTGGACAGAAAACAAGAAACAAAGTGTAAGTTGCTTACCTGAAACTATGGTTTTTGAAGTGGTCATCTGTGAACTCACACAAATAGGCTATCTGCACCTACAGAGTGCATATTTTGGAACTTTCTAGAAAAACGCTAATATTAATTTTGGTAGTAGCCTCCTATTCCCATCATGCATGTCTAGCCCGCTTCCTGCCAAAGCCCTCTGTTCTCTGGATGCCAAAGTTTCAGCCCAAAGGACGAGGACAGCCAGAACACGAGGGGAGGATTGTTGGGGTTGTGTGACCACTTGAAGAATCAGTCACAGGTAAGCAACATGTTCATCTTCTTTGTGGTCTCTGTGACTCACACAAATTGGGAGACCAGCAAACTGCTAACCATAGGCAGAGGGAGTGTCGTGTAACACAGAACAGAAGGTCTCCCAAAAGCAGTGTTCATTGGGATCATGTGTCCTGTATATAGTGTGAAATGAAGGTTGAAATAGTAAAAACTAGAAGGCTGGGACTAGGTGGTAGCCCTGAAGAAATCATGGAGCAAAACACACCTCTGGAAGACCATAGATGCCGCCATTGCTCTGGGGGGATGACTTCTCACTTGAGCAGGAGGCTGCTTGCTAGTTAAGTTCAAAGACCAAATCGCTGCAATCCATTTAGAGAATTATTGGGAGACCCTTTTTACTGATGCAATAGTAAAGGAAGAGTCTCTAGGAGTTGTAAAATCAAGCCATGCAGTCTACATTGAAGACCATTGCTTTTCTCACTGCAGAAAGTGTTCAAGGCCCAAAGCATAAATATAAACACAGGAAGCAAAAACTATGCATTGTGGGTCTCTTTCACTCTTTATTTCTTCACTACTGTCGTAAATCTGAAATGTTGTAAAGTCTGGTCAGGTGATCAGGATAGTTTTTGCTTCAAATGCCTACTAAACCATGGAAACCACCAGGCAAGTCATACTCGGCTTCAGAGAAAGGCAAACCTAATCCAAACACATATCGCTAAGAAAAACCCATAATAGGTTCACCTTAGGGTTGCCATGTCGGGAATGACTTGAAAGTACACAATAACAAAAACAGGGATGAAGATTCATCTATATATACTGAAGAAAACTATGGAAGTCATATAATAATGGAGAAGGCCAAAGGGTTTCCACTAGGTGCATGTTTGGCATAACAGAGACCTATGCACTTGCCTCACAACTACAGTGAGGGGAACTTTAGACCAGATATTTGGGTCTACAGTTTGTCTCCATTTTGTAGGTATGGCCAATGATAATGGGCTCTAGGAGTTGTGATCTAAAAACATCTTGATGGTCAAAAGGTTTCCTATCACTGCATTTACATTGTTGAAATGGGGTCTGAACTGGAAAGTTGTTGTTAGCTGCCTTAAGTTCCCATGGGGAGAAAGGCGGAGCATAAACCAAGTTAAGAATACTAATGCCAATGGAAGACAATAATTGCGTATGTTATGTTTCTCTTATTTTCTCCAAATAAAGACTTCACAATCCCCATATATAACTTGCTAACAGGAAGTGAATGCAGGGTCCTCCCTTAAGTGATTCAAAACATTTATAACTGTTTGCATTATAGACAAGAAGAAAATTGCTGAGTAGTTCTTGAAAAATGCAGAGCTTTATTTGTATTTCATTTCCTTTTGTTTTTCTTCAGCTTGCAAGCAAAGAAAGTTTGGAACAATGTAGCCGTATCTTTGCAAAATATCTCAGTATGCTAAATCGCAGGAGATGAATGTGATTTCCAGATCAAGCCTTTTAATGAAGTTAATGGCAGTCACCCCAAGTCACATGCAGAACAATGACTTCTTCCTTGAAATATAAGCACCACCCAATTTGTGATCTAAGCTTCTTAAAAATATGTATTCATTTCATTTCTAATTCAGTTTTCATTAAAACTTGTTCATCCTGTTCCAAAAGGGATGGGCCTTTTTATAATTATATACTCCATGAGCCTAATATATTGAGCAATGATTGTTTGCAGCTTCACCATGACAATTCATGCTTGTGCTCATAAAGAATAATTTCATATGCATCATCAAAGATCTCTAGGAAGTCAGGCACAGCATAGGAAGATTTGGCCAATCAGTTCCATATACTAGGGATGGATGAGAGTTTAGGTGTTTAGGGACTAAAATGCTAATGTACTTGCATCATTGCCTATGCTGGCAAGAGGTGCTGGATGATCCGAGCCAACAACTAGAGCCAGCTCTTTAGGAAACCTATTTAGAAAAAGCCATGTGTCAAACAAAGCTAGAAGGCACATAGCAACAAACCATAAGGCCCATAATACAAAGCTACCTATCAAATTGGCTGTTGTATGTTTTTGGGCTATATGGTCATGTTCTAGATGTATTCTCTCCTGACATTTTGCCTGCATCTATGGAGGACATCCTCAGAGGGTGTGAGGTCTCACAACCTCTGAGGATGCCTGCCATAGATGCAGGAGATAATGCCTCATTACATAGTATATTTTTCTCATGTGAAAGGGACCCCACAGACACCAGTAAGGATCTGGTATCAATAGCCAAGTGTCAGTACATAAATAAGGGTAGCGAAACATTATGTCATCTCCCTGCTCAATTCTCAATGCAGATAAATGTTAAAGAACAAACTGGCCATCAGCACAAGTTTCAAGGTTTGGTTTTTTGTTTAACCTTTTATTGAAAAAAATGAACATAAAACACAATTTATAAAAACAACACATTTTACATATAAACATGCCATTGCAAAGCAATAATACAGCATATGGTATTTGGTTTCCAAAATTACTGTGTAATTCAACCAATTGTAGAATTCCATATAGACACATGAATATTTTGGGCCTGGTCTTTTTGGATCTGTTGATTGGCTAGCATTGCAAATAAAAGTAGACCAAGCTTCTGTAAAGTTATTTATGTCTGTATCTTCATTCAGTTCCTCAACACTTTGTGTCAACTTTTCTGAAACAGCTAAGTTCCATATTCTTGCAGTGATATTCCATGCATTTCCAGATTTCTACTGTTGTATTAACTGTCTAGACTCTAGCAGCTAAAATTAAAAATGTTATTAGGTCCTTATGTAATAACTAAACAGAGAAAATGTTCAATAGTGCTAAGTCTGTAAAAAATTTTGGTTGGTAATGTTACCTATTTCTTGAAAGACATCTCACCAGAATGTTGAGACAACTACATAATCACTAGTAGAAAATATTAAGTATGAGAGTGAAGCTGACATATAAAAATGAATGCAATAAATACAGAGTACTGCAGTCTTCAGAGAGTACCTGCCTCCCAAAAGTTGTAGGAGAGATTAATTTGTGATGAAGTATCCAGAACCATTCTTTCTAATTAAAATTAAAACAACAGGATGCAGTTCTTGTATCAGAAGCAAGTTTTAAACATGCCAATGGCAAAATCAAGACTAGAAATTTTACCCAAAGGATATATTGTTCAAAATCAAACTATTCAAAGTTAAACTTAGGTAAATTATTGTACATAGAAAACAGTGTAACTGTCACTTAAATACTCTGTAATCAAACCCGAGTCGCTTGTACTGGTTTGCAATAATTATGGAAATAGACATTAGACACAGGAGGTCAATCTTTCCCTTGAAAAGGGACAAAAGAATCTATGCAGCAGGATTGTGATTTGTACTCCTTTGAATTTCTGGTGTTCATGGCTCCTGAACACCATAATTGGGGGTAAAATGGAATTATGGCTTTCAGTCCTGGTTTGTAAGCAATTATAAGTACAAACCATAGTTTGTCTGGCACATATCTAACAAGAAAGGAAAGGGGTAACTAGAATATATGATCATTCTTGTTGGACCCAAGCCTTTGAGACTAATGCAACCGAGTGAAGGATTGTAGTAATCAAAAGTTCCCTTTAGTAAAGTCAATTGCTTTAACTGGTTCTAATAGCAAATGCATTTACGGTTTTGGAAACAGTTTCCAAGAAATTTAAAAACAAGTTTATATAAAAACATATGCATTTCTTAATACATGAATGTATGACCCTTCCAATGTAACTCAATGGAATGTGTAAATCACCTCGGAAATATGCAGATTGGATGATCCTGGCCTTGAGTCCCTTCCGGGAGATAGGGTGGGATAGAAATAAGGTATTATTATTATTATTATTATTATTATTATTATTAAATTTATTATTAGAGATAATGCATACTATACTGTGCCAGTGACCACATCTGCCTGTTCTCAGAGAACTGCCCAATGACACCCTTATTTTCAAAGGGAAAATCACTACTTATAATCATGCAGTGACACATACACAGGGGACAGGCACAGTATGTTTGCATTTGCAAAAATACCTCTTTCAATGAGACACAAAGGAGCTCACCAAGGACATGTTCTAGGCCAGCAACAAACTTGTCTGCCACAAAAAAGTGGATCAACTTTGAGTTGGGTACAAACATTTAATCCTAAATTCCAATGCATTTATCCATCGCTATAATATAAAATGCAAACATTAATGTTTTTTAGTATTAAAAAATCAGCATACAAATTTTTAGCACTTCTTTATGAAGACACATTTTGAACCTGAGAATATTCATGAATGTTTGAAAGGCCATCATTTTAAAGGTGCATGTTCCTTCTTTTTGGGGAATACGTCTCTCTCTCACACACACATACACACACACACACACACACACACACACACACACACACCAGGTGTAACAGGCAGCAACATGATTTAGCTGACAAATGCTGCAATGGCTATGATTTGCAGTATTCCTTCAAGTCCATATATAACAAGGAGCACAACATTAATAATGACATCTGCCCTGAGGATATAAGTTTGCAATGCTAGAAAATAGACAGACAGAATTATGCAGCCAGCAGTAATCATAAGACTGAATCCGAGGGGAGCCTCATCTTCTGTTAGGTTCCCTTTAGTACCTGGTGAAAATATTTTTTTTATTGTATTAACAAAACTTATTGGAATACACATTCAAAAGAGAGACATAATTTATGTTTGCTTTGGAAGAACGGTTAAAGGACAACTTGTGCTGTAAGAATTTAAATGTGCTTTAAAACTTTTAAGGATAGAAAATGTTTGGTTATATCTAGAGATCTTATCCCTCTGGTAACACTCCTCTGGAACAGATTTATGCTCTGAACAATCCTGCTTCCAGGAAGGGTAGAGAGCATCATTTTTTGTTATCTCTCTGTAGCACTCCGTACAACTACCTCTGCAGTCCTAGGCAGTTCCAGAACCCTCTAGAGCAAATGGAAAAGGGGGGAAATAAAGTACGAATTAAGCATCCCTTATCCAGAATTCTGAAATTAAAAATATTCCAAAATACTCCAAAATTCAAAATTGTCCTCATGGGTAGTTGACGTAGCTTCCCTTGCTTCCTAGTAGTTCAATGTACACAAATGTTGTTTTATGCACAAAATTATTTAAAATATTGTACACAACATTACCTTCAGCGTATATGTATAAGGCATATATGAAAACGAAATAAATTTTGTGTTTAGACATGGGTCCCCATCTCCAAGATATTTCATTATGTATATATTGCAAATATAGCTGTTCCAAAATTGGAAGGGGGGGTGCAAATCCAAAACACTTCTGGTCCTAAGCATTTTCGGCCAATCTATATTGTAATAGGACTCTGGTAACTGTCTCCTCTGGTTCCTCTGAGTAAAAAAAATTCACCAATGTACAAACCTTTCCATTTCCCAGAGGCTTTAATTGAATCCTCATTGTGTATTGAGGTGCTACAACCTCTTGCAGATGATCGGATGGACTAAAACATTGTACTGGGCTCATTCTGATTCCCAAGATTCCACATATTTCAGTGTGTATATTAAAGCTGCAAAGTGAGCCTTATAGTGTATGGATGCAGCTCAAACTTATCTTGGCTACTTTATTCCTGTACAAAGGACCAATACAATGGCTTCATATATATTACAGTACCATTTCAGTTCCTACTTAATTCATTGTTTTGAAAAATTAAAAAGCAACAACACACTAATGGGAATTATTATTGAATACCGTAAAACAGACAATTGATGGAAACCACAAGACTTTCTTTGTTCTTCCAACAATTCTAATTGCCAGAACATATGATACAGAGCTTTATCTCTTTGCTGGCGTCAGGATGGAACTGCTTATAGCCCAGCTCACTCTCTTGCAGTGCCAGAAAAAGTTTAGAAGTTTTTAAGGGTGCTTTGTAATGATTGTAAGCTTTAAACATTGCATTTAAATAGCAGCATAAAAATCAGTTTCTATAACTGAAAGTATAGCCAAATAATGCAGAACACATTCTGGTGAAACTTTACATATAGTGATTAACCATTTGTCTACCACTCAGTGTAAGGAAAAAGAGAGTGTAAGCTATTCCTGGCTATGAAAGTGTATGATATAATGGAAGCGCAATAATTTGTACTATTCCTTTTTGCAATGCTTTGGTGGTGACTCAGTCATGTGAAGAAGCCTTCCTCTTTTTCATTGCATCTGATCCATCCCAATTCACCACATATCCAGAGAACACAATCATATGCTAAACTTTTTTTTTATTTTTATGGGGCTGTATAATCTTTTATGTAGGTCCTCTGGTGATGCAGCAAGTTAAACTGCTGAGCTGCTGAACGTGCTGACCAAAAGGTTGGCGGTTTGACTCCAGGGGTAAACAGGGGTGAACAACACTGGCTCTTCAACTTAGAAATGGAGATGAGCAGAATCTGACACGACTACACTTAATGTCATGGGAAACCTTTACTTTTACTTTATAATCTTTTAGACTACAGCAGTGTTTCTCAACCTGGGGGTCGGGACCCCTGTGGGGGTCGATAGGGAGTGTCAGAGGGGGCCCCAGAGACTATCGAAAAACATAGTATTTTCTGTTGGTCATGGGGGTTCTGTGTGGGAAGTTTGGTTCAATTCTATCATTGGTGGGGTTCAGAATGCTCTTTGATTGTAGGTGAACTATAAATCCCAGCAACTACAACTCCCAAATGCCAAGGTCTATTTTCCCCAAACTCCACATTTGGACATATTGAGTATTTGTGCCAAGTTTGGTCCAGATCTATCATTGTTTGAGCCCACCGTGCTATTGGATGTAGGTGAACTACAATTCCCAAACTGAAGGTACACCAGACCATCCCAGTATGTTCTGTTGGTCATGGGAGTTCTGTGTTCCAAGTCTGGTTCAATTCCATCATTGGTGGAGTTCAAAGTGCTCTTTGAAAATCAATCCTCTCCACAACCCCACCAGTATTCAAATTTGGTTGTATTATTGGGTATTTGTGGCCCATTTGGTCCAGTGAATACAAATGCATCCTGGATGTCGGATGTTTACATTACGATTCATAACAGGAGCACAATTATAGTTGTGAAATGTTACAGTTGGGGGTCACCACAACATGAGGAACTGTACTAAGGGGTCGCGGCATTAGGAAGGTTGAGAACCACTGGACTACAGCTTTACACTTCTAGAGAAAGCCCCACTAGTCTAAATGAAACTTACTACTCAGTAAATATACATTAGATGAAGTTATCTGTCTGCCAGTTAAAATACTTGTTTAACCAACATCCAGAGTAAAAAAATCATTTATATTTCTGCTCATATAGATTAGACTTTACTGTTTCATGTTGTGTTTCAATGCCTTGTAATGTAATTAACTAGTTCTCTTGAATCAGAATATTTTGACATATATCTTCACCAAGAAATCAATATTTAATAATGCTCCCAATATGAGAGATGCTATTGAACTCACCAAAATATAGCCGGATTGTTTCTAGAATCGCCATAATAAACAGCAGTATGAGATCAAGAGTCAAGAATTTATCTGGATAAGTAAAAACTTGACCTGCCAATGAGTAAAGTATGCATAAAGAAAAAAGACAAATTCAGTCAGAGTCCACAGTTTTAAAAAGAAAAATCTTTTACTTGTATATATTTGACTTACTTTTATAAATAATCATCAGCAAGACTGCGAAGAAATAAAATATATAATACAGTCCATTTAAATAGAAAAGAATCTGTAAGGGAACAGATGACAGCTGATAATTTCTGTCAAGGAAACTGGCTTATAAACAGTAAATTTTCTCCTTGTTATGCTAATACCAGACTAGATCATAAATAATAATTGGCATATTATAACACTGTCCATTAATATTTATATTTTTTTATTTCTTCCAGACATGATAACTGGCTTAAAGTTGTATAATTTATATAGGATGCTAGAATTAGTGTATTATTGTTTGGATGGTAAACCAGAAAGAAGAAAAGTTATAATATGTCTCCTCTCCTTTGTCTCCATTGGCCTGTTGTACCTCTATTGTCATGCCTCTCCTGTCTATTATATCTTCTGTAGCAGGATCCTTTCTCCTTCCCATCCAAACACATATTTAGTATAACCAGACACACACAGAAAGTATGCCCTCGTTTTACTTGGCCTGTCACAGCAAATTTAATCAAATGCTGCCCAATAAGCTTGAATAGGACAAAGAGAGATGAGTCAGGCCTGTCTCATCAACCCATCTCATCAGTTCCCTCCTGTTGTTTAAGTAGCAGATTGTTTGGCTACAGAGCAATGATTTCACCTGCCAATCTTCTGAGGTGGCCTCAGATATGAGCTCTTTGTAGGCTGATATTCAGTAGCATTTTCCTCTGCTGCTGATTCTGACTGGAATCCGTTAACATAAGCCTCTGTTTTGACCTAGCTAAAAGCTCACATCAAGGACAAGGATTCTTTGACTAATGCCCCTGGGCTTATTACAGGTAATAATAATAATAATAAATAATAAACTTTATTTATAACCCACCTCCATCTCTCCAAAGGGGACTTGGGGCGGCTAACATGAGGCCAAGCCCAAAATAATACAACATAATTAGACACAAAATAACAGGAAAATACATCATAACAAAATATATAAAATAGCAGATAAAATAAACAATATAAAATGACATAATAAAATCAAACATGGAGGGCGGGCCAGATGTATGAGATAAAATGTTAAAAGCTTAAAACCCTGGGTAAGTTAGGGATGAAAGTGCATTTATGAGAGAGGAGCCCGAGAGGGAGGAGCAGTGGAGTTTGGCCTTTATAGGGAACAGGGGAAGGTACTTTATTGAGGGGACAACTGTAGATGGAAATAGACAATGGGTTGAGTGGTCACTCTCCAAAGGCACATCGGAAGAACCAAATAGTCCCCAAGTTACGAACAAGATAGGTTCTGTAGGTTTGTTCTCAAGTTGCATTTGTATGTAAGTCGGAACAAGTACATTTTTAAATGTAACTTCATCTATCTATCTATCTATCTATCTGTCTATCTATCTATCTATCTATCTATCTATCTATCTATCTATCTATCTATCTATCTATCTATCTTTGGATAGCATAAGGAAAGGTTAACACCCCTGTGGTGTTAGATTTGCTGTTTGTGCCACTGTTCACAAGATTTCATCTCAATTTCTATCCCTATGATCATTGGATTTTGGAAAAAAAATGGCTTGTTGTGGAAACAAGGATTGGTGAGAAAGTTTCAAGTGGGACACCTTTTTCCCATGATAACTCTTCCAGGGATAGATTCTCCTCGCTTTCTGTAGTCTCACCCCCCCCCCCGTTCTTAACTTGTGAGTCGGATGTCTGTAACTCGGGGACTGCCTGTATATCTATGGCCCTTTCTTACTCCAATGCATTACATGCAAGGAGTGGGGGAAAGTGACTTGGCACACTGCATTCCAATAGAGTCATCCACTGCAGCATTGGAGTATCTTGTTAGCAATCTTCACCACAGAATTTGAAAATGTGGCAATTTGGTTCCTAGTAGATCAGTCAGATGCTTCTGAACATACGATTCCTTAAACATTTTTTCATGCAAGGGTACGTAATAATACTTTCAAAATATTCCTTGTCCTGCTGCTTGAGAATATTTCAGTTGAAGATACCCAATTTATAGATTCCAAGGTGGAATAAGGTATATGCTCTAATACAGGGGTCCCCAAACTAAGGCCCACGGGCCACATGCGGCCCGCCGAGGGCATCTATCCGGCCCGCGCGGCCTGGCCTCACGCAAAGCCCCTCGCTGCCTCGCGCCGCCCGTCGGCCCTGGCAAGCAATGGAAGCGGCAATGCAAATTACCTGCCTCACACTGCCCCTCGTGCAAGCCAGGCAAGGGAAGGGCATCGCGCGAGAACAGGCCACGAGTTGCACCTTCCCTTGCCAGCCCGACGGGCAGCGAGAGGGCTGTATGGAAGGGCTCTGGAGAAGCGCCTTTCCGAACAAGCACACCTTTAGTTTGTCCTGTGGAGCGAGAGCAGCCTGGCTCGCCTCTTCCCGGGAGGAGAGTTGAAACGGAGGCCGAGGCCTGGCAGGGCCTCCTTCTCGGGTGCTGCTCTCCCCTCCCCCGCCAGAAAGGCTGCCTCCCTTTCCCTCTTTCTTCCATCCCCTTGTGCAAAACACACTTCCCAGTAGCAGAAACAGCCCTGGCTCCTGGGACATAGGAGGAAGAGAAAGGAAGGCAGGAAAGGCCTGTCGAGGAATTCTGAGGTGGGTTCTTGTTTTGGTTTTATCTGAGTCCACACTGCCATATATTCCAGTTCAAAGCAGATATGGTGGGATTTTCTGCCTTAATATTCAGGGATATAGAGATGTATGGAAGGGCACCCAGATCCACACADCTCTATATCCCAGAATATTAAGGCAGGAAATCCCACCATATCTGCTTTGAACTGGGTTATCTGAGTCCACACTGCCATATATTCCAGTTCAAAGCAGATATGGTGGGATTTTCTGCCTTAATATTCTGGGTTATACAGCTGTGTGGAAGGGCACCCAGGTCCACACATGTCTATATCCCAGTATACCAAGGCAGAAAATCCCACCACCATATCTGCTTTGAGCTGGGTTATCTGAGTCCACACTGCCATATATTCCAGTTCAAAACAGATATGGTGGGATTTTCTGCTTTAATATTCAGGGATATAGAGATGTATGGAAGGGCACCCAGATCCACACAGCTCTATATCCCAGAATACCAAGGCAGAAAATCCCACCACCATATCTGCTTTGAGCTGGGTTATCTGAGTCCACACTGCCATAAATTCCAGTTCAAAGCAGATATGGTGGGATTTTCTGCCTTAATATTCAGGGATATAGAGATTATGGAAGAGCACCCAGATCCACACAGCTCTATATCCCAGAATACCAAGGCAGAAAATCCCACCACCATATCTGCTTTGAGCTGGGTTATCTGAGTCCACACTGCCATATATTCCAGTTCAAAGCAAATATGGTGGGATTTTTTGCCTTGATATTCTGGGTTATACAGCTGTGTGGAAGAGCACCACACATCTCTATATCCCAGAATATCAAGGCAGAAAATCCCACCATATCAGCTTTCAACTGGGTTATCTGAGGCAAGGGAGGCTACACTGCACTTCCTGTTCTTGCATGAAGCCCTCGCTGCTTCCATTGCTTGCCAGGCCTGACTGGCAGCATGAGGCAAGTGAGGGGATTGGGCCTTGCAAGCGGCGAGGGGCTTTGCGCGAGGCCAGGCTGCACAGTGCAGCCTCCCTTGCCTGACTTTCATGATGGGCAGTGCGATAGTCCGGCCCTCCAACGGTCTGAGGGACAGTAATCTGGCCCCCTGTTGAAAAAGTTTGGGGACCCCTGCTCTAATACTTAATACACACTGAATCAGACTTGGTTCATCTAGTTTTCCTATAGTAAGTCAATTATACTAATGATCAATTTAAAGTGATCCACAAATTACAGCCAGGAAAAAAAAATCCATCTACTCAGCAAGAATAAAGTTCAAAGTGCTTTCCCCTTTCCATTTAACAAGTGACACAGAATGAGAGATTAACAGCATACAGGCTATTTCCCTCCATAAACTAAGTTCTCAACAGGACTCTTTCTGTATAGTGCCCCTAATTATCTAGATTCAACTCCCACGATTCCTAACAGTCGGTAAACTGTTAGGTAACTTTTGCAAATTGCAACGTTTAAACATATCTCTAGCAGAAAAGAGTTCTTTTCCCCACCCTGGACATTCCACAGATATATAAACCCCACTTATTTAGTTTCCAACAGATCCCTCAACCTCTGAGGATACCTGCCATAGATGTGGGTGAAACATCAGGAGAGAATGCTTCTGGAACATGGCCATACAGCCCAGCAAACTCACAGCAACCCACATTTATTTTGTTTAAACTCTGTTTAGATACTATATTTTTTTCCTTTGCAGAAATGCGGATTTGTATATTAAATTATGCATAATCTTAATTTGTGTTTTATAAATAATAAAAATTGTCTTTTAAAAATAGCTTTCCTTTTATTAACACAGTTCAGAAGGGGTGTAACAGATATTGTCAAATTTTGTGTTTGACAAGAAAAGACCTATTGCCATAATTAAACTGTTAAAAATATACAGAGATTTTTCGTATTTCAGAACGTGCAAAAAAATCGTATTTTTAAAAAACGACGTTATGATAAACTTTCTGACATTTTTGCAAAGAAATCCCAAAGCATTCAAAATAATTTTCAAAATGACTGAAAACTCACATGGTCTTATCTAGCAGGATGATCTTATGATATTTTTCATATGTACGTGACAGAATGAAGCAAGTGAACGACTAACTTCTAATCCAATCGCATTTCTCTTATTAAGAGTACAGTTGTATGGGGCCAGTACTGAACTTTACAGTTGGTCAGCAGGAGTAATGGCTGCAACCACTTGTTGACTTCTGTTGAAATATTCAGAATTTCATTGATTGTTTCAAATCAACTAAAACCAATTTCAGGTTTTTTTCCAACTCACAAATTACCCAGGAAGAACAACCCAGTCAGCTTTACCATAATGAATTATAACATTAAATAATTGATAACAATTCCCTTAACCTTCGGACTAATGTTTCTACCTTCCAGAAAGTGGCAGCCCGGAGTTAAAACCAGGTTCTTGCTTACTAATGGACTTTCCCCTTCTTCATGAAAGGTCATCTACCAGTAGCAACTCTAATAACTATTTGCTCTCAAGTCACCCACTGATTTATAGTGAGCTCATGAATTTCACAGGGTTTTCTTGCACAAGAAATACTCAAATGTGATTTTGCCAATCTCTTCCTATGAAATAGCACATACAATTTGTTGGCGGTCTCACATCCAAATATTAACCAGGGCTGATCCTGCTTAGCTTCCAAAATCAGATGGGATCTAATGCCTTTAGGGTATTTAGATTATCCTTTAGGAAGAGTGTCTGTCATGCACAAACAGAAACATTTGCTGTTATCCAGTTCTGTAGGTTCACTTCATCATCACACAGGCTAGAAAGGAGCTTACCTTCCATAGCAGAGTAATGAGTTTAAATCTGAACCTTTCTTGATTTGCATTTTTGTGACTGTCCCTATTAATATATATTATCTTTACAGATAAAGAACACACACCAGTCTTGCTGGAGACATGAACTACTGAGTGAAATGCCTGTAACCACTCACATATGAATACAAAGCCAAATCTTTCTTGGCAGAAATATAGCTAAAGGGAATTATGCCCATTTAAGTCAGCAGAGGATTCTACAGTTGGCCCTCCATAACAAACCATGACTTGAAAATATTAAATCCAAAAACAAAACTTTATTTTCTCGTTTATGTAAAGGCCGCTATTTTACTACATCACTTTATATGATGGGACTTGAGCATCCAGATTTTGGTATCCTCAGGTGGGATAGGGTGTCCTGGATTCAAATCCTAGCAGATGCCAAGGGCAGGGCTATATCTTATTCATTACATATATTTACTTCAGATGCTATTGGACTTCAAGTCCCAGCAGCTCTAGTTAGCACAGCCAATGAAAAATGCTGGGAGTTGCTTCCAGACCATTTATTATTTAAAGGATAATGCTCCTTCATAAATGTACAGGTAACGAATGCTTTGTTGGTTTTACTTCAATGAAGTTGGGTTGCCCGTGTATTCACTTTTTTCAGAATGAAGTAATGAGGAAAGAAAACAAAGAATGGTTATAGAAGAATTATTCTATTCTTCTATTTTGGGGATTCTATGCTGCAGGTTGCATCAGTCATGCCCCATGGTTGTAATGTCTATAATTTTCAGATGATTCCTCTCCCTTAATTTCTTAGTTTTGCATATAGGTTTCACTCATATATTAGCCACAATAATCTGTTTCTGCATATCTCCACCAAAAATCACTAAGAATTTAGAAAATGAAGTTATTATATATAGGCCACATTTTTGCTTTTTTGCCTTCAGAAAGCAGTCTCTGAACTTGTTTGTGTTGGAACTCCTGTGTGTTGTAGGGGACTATGTTTGAGGCATACCTGATAGTCCACAGTCCATCCTAGCAAAGTTCACATACACAGAGGCCATGACCGCAAGAACAGACAATATTCCCTTCATTTGCACTTTGCAAAATATCTCCATGAGAAGGCAAGCTGTTATCAGTAAGGTTTATATCTCATCTCGTCAATGAAAAAAATACACACAATAGAACTTCCAAAGCATTGAATATAGACAAAAACATTATTATTCGATCATCAGATGGAAAAACAAAGGATACAACAGATGATGTTCTTCCTGTGAACAAAACAAAAATAATATTCATCAAAAATTATACTTTTACATTACAATTACAACCATAAGAATGATTAGATATATTAGGAAACACAGAGCTTTCTTCCCCTCCTTTTTAGGGAGGCAGTATTTCCTTTTAGGATGAACTCAAGCTGCCACAATTGCAAATTTGAACATATATCCCACTCAAACACTCCCAGGATGAGAAACAATTATGAGAAATCTATTTCAGACTGCCCTCATTTACTCTAAAGATAATGGTATGACTACATCAATAATCAGATTGTACTTAAGCAATTAAAGCAACAAAAGTAAGGGAATTAAGCGAGAAAACAAGAATTCAGTAGTAATAATTAGGCATATCCATCATTTACATATATTTTAAATACTTATAAAATGCTTCAAAAATAATACAACTACATATATAGCTCTCGGTCCCCCTCTAGTGAATGAACCATAATATGATTTCCAAGCTTGCTAATTATTTCAGAACAGCTCATAATGCTTCCCCCCAATAATCTTGAAATAAAACATACTTTTAAATGCAGTCCCTTTCTTGCCTTTGCCTTTCTCTGTGGCTGAAAGAGTATGACTTGTTCAAGGTCACCCAGTGGGTTTCCATGGCCAAGTGGGGATGTGAACTTTGGTCTCCTGAGTTGTAGTCCAATGCAGAAACCACTACACCTTACTGGTTCTCAATACCTTTCTACGAAAACAATTACTAGCATGTTGGCATGACTGCATGATGGAACTGAAGTATGCCTATATATTTATCATTCACTAAGCATAACAACAACAATAATAATTTTATTTCTTATTCCACTCTCCTTGTGGCTCGAGAAGGGCTACAGAATAATTAAAACACATAAACACTGTGAAAATACCACACATTTTAAAATATAATTCTATAAAATATACACATTAAAACGTATTTCTATAAAATACGTATTAAAATACACAAAACGAAGATTAAACAAAGGACATGTTCAAAATTTATGTTTAAAAACTGTCATGTTTAAAAACTGTCAGAAGAAATAGGTCTTTAAATGGTTTTAAAATTCCGACAGCTGATTTAGCTGTCCGGGCTCTTCTGGCAGGTCGTTTCACAGTCGTGGGGTGGCTAATGAAAACGTCAATCTGAGTGACAGCCACCAGTCAGGTTCAGGCAGGTTGGAATAACTGCCCACCAGAGGACCTCAGTGTCCAGGGGGGATTATACGGGAAAAGGCGATCCTGTAGGTAACCTGGACCCAAACATGTAGGGCTTTAAAGGTCAAAACCAATACTTTGTACTTTGCCCAGAAACTGATTGGCAGCCAGTGGAGTGACTTTAGGTTAGGTGTAATATGCTCATTCCTAGATGTTCCTGTAACCAGTCTGGCTGCCATATTTTGAACCAACAGGAGTTTCTGAACTTGGTACAAAGGCAGCCCAATGTAAAGCACATTTCAGAAGTCCAACCTTGAGGTTGCCAGGCCCTGCATTACTATCTTAAGGTCCTCCAAATCTAGGAAGGGGCACAGCTGGTGTATCAGCCGAAGCTGATAGTAAGCACTCCTGAACGTCACATCTACCTGGACTGACATTTGGAGAGACGGATCCAGGAGCATTCCCAAGCCGTGAACAGTCTTTAACGGGGAGTGTAACCCCATCCAGAACTGGCTGACACACCTCTATCCCCAGATTAGGACTCTTGATAGAAAGCACCTCTGTTTTGTCTGGGTTCAGTTTCAATTTGTTTTTCCTCCTCCAGCCCATTGCCTCATGTAGGCATTCATTCAGAGGAGACACACTATCCTTAGTTGATGCTGTTTTTGAAGGCATGGAGAAATATATATATAAATAAGGATACCCTTCACTGATGAGACTCAGAACATACTGGATGGATCCTACGCACAAAAAAGGTCCTGCAAAATTAATCAATTTAGTTCAGTAGTCTACTCCAAGATGATTTTGAGTATTTTTAAGTTTGTCTCTGTGGAGTTATATCCATGTGAATTTTATTAAAGAATTTATTTCAATTATGCTGCCTTTTGATGAAAACATTGAGATCAAGAATACTAATAGGAGTAATTATCAATAATTATGAAGGAGAATGCAGTGAGGTCAGGTAGGGGAAATGTGACATTACATCAAGGAAGTGATTTTAAACCCCCTCTTATCCTATTTGGAAATCCACTCGCAATCCTCAACCAAGATTATATAGGATTATGTAGTCACAGATCATGTTAGAAAAAATAGAATGATATTAAGTATAGTATTTACTGTAGTGTTTTTCCTGATCTCAAAGCTTTTGATTTCATAACAAAATTGCCAGACAAACACTGCAATCCTGTTTGAAAGTAAGCCTATTGTACAACGAGTCCTGTGAGTTAAATGCTGCTTACATATGGGAAAGTGGCTCTTAAGTTATGCAATCAAAGCAACGCTACAATTAGTGGAAATAGTATGTTTAGCACAAGCTTCCATAGGCAACCAGTCTTACACCATTGCATAGAAACCTACATACAATTAGTGCAATTATCAGGTATTAACATACTTTTGCTAGGGAGATGAAAAAATAGATAGGTCTCATTCACCTTTAAAAACTGCATGACAGGGAAATTTCAGCAACTATACGATACAAAAAGCTGTGCATATTTTGTCTTTTATCAAGAGTTTAAGCAGTTCTCTGTTCAGTGAGCAACTTTCTGTTTTGCCCATGAAGCTGTAGCTCAGTTCTAACTTTATGAAGCAACTCTGGGCTTTCACTGATTCCCTTTAATTGTCATGATTGCATCCTATGGAGTCCTGGGGTTTGCAGTTTGGTTACTCTCCAGTTGAGAAAAAAATTAACATCCCTCCATAAACTGTAAATTCCAGGATTTCACAGGATGCTGCAATGGCAGCTACAGTGTACCATTCTTATGTGTGAAGTGGAAAAGGGGCCCATTTTGTTTAGATTGGATTATATAGGTTGCATTTGGTGGATTTCCATGCTAGAACCATGAGGGAAAAATCTCACTCACATACAAAGCTATGGTTAAGGATACACTTGTGCTAGAAAACCACCAGTTCGAAAGTTTCCCATGCAAAGTATGGTGGCATGATGCACAGAAAGAGCAAATAAACTCTATTTCTCTAAAAACCATATTCAAAGCCATAGCCATGCTAGTCTGATTCCTATCTTTGTTGCACTTTTGAGATCTAGTCAGACACTACTTTAACTGCCCATCATGGGAGCTGTAGTTTAGTGAGGCAACAGCACCCTTAGGCATATAAGGTTAAATACTTTGCAAAACTACAACTCCCATGATTCCACAGCATTGAGGCATGGCAGTCAAAGGCACCTTCCACACAGCTGAGTAAAATCCCACATTATCTGCTTTGCAGCAGAGGGATTCCTAGATGAAGTAGATTGTAGTTCAGTGATGCCAAAACTCTAGCCTGCCAAGTGTTTGGTCTGCTGCCTTGGTTAATGAAGGAATTGTGGACAGCAAGTTAAACATGAACCAACAATGTCATGTGGCAGCAGCTAAAAAAATTAATGGGATTCTGGCCTGCATCAATAGTATAGTGTCTAGATCCAGGGAAGTCATGCTATCCCTCTATTCTGCCTTGGTCAGACAACACCTGGAATACTGTGTCCAATTCAGGGCACCACAATTTAAGGGAGATGTTGACAAGCTGGAATGTGTCAGAGGAGGGCAACTAAAATGATCAAGGGTCTAGAGAACAAGCCCTATGAGAAGCGGCTTAAAGAGCTGGGCATGTTTAATCTGCAGAAGAGAAGGCTGAGAGGAGACATGAAAGCCATGTATAAATATGTGAGAGGAAATCATAGGGAGGAGGGAGCAGGCTTATTTTCTGCTGCCCTGGAGATTAGGAAACGGAACAATGGCTTCAAACTACAGGAAAGGAGATTCCATCTGAACATTAGGAAGAACTTCCTGACCGTGAGAGCCGTTCAGCAGTGGAACTCTCTGCTTCGGAGTGTGGTGGAGGCTCCTTCTTTGGAGGCTTTTAAACAGAGGTTGGATGGCCATCTGTCGGGGGTGCACTGAATACCATTTTCCTGCTTCTTGGCAGGGGTTTGGACTGGGTGGCCCATGAGGTCTCTTCCCATTCTATGAGTCTACGATACTGGGAGCTGAAGTCCTCAAACACTTGAGTTTGGGAAACCCTGTTGTAGTCTCAAAGATCCTACAAGATCCCACCATAATCTCAGTAGCAAACGGCCTTTATTAGCAGAGCTTGAAAAAGTTAGCTTTTACAGCTCTGCACAGCCAGAGATAGTTCTTATTTTTTCCCCCACAAGCTCTATTGCCTAAAACTTTGTGCCTAAATATACTTCGGTTAACACTATATTGCTCTAACCGTCCCTTTCCTTTACTTCATTCTCGGAGGAATGTAATCCAGAATTTAAAACGAGGGGTTCAATAGTTTTGTCGGGCTGTTGGTTGCCATGGTCACAAGCAGTGTCAGAGGTCTGCTCGGCTCACCTCGCTTGACAGCCGCCATTTTGGCCCCTCGCGCTCAATCCCCGCCCCATCCAGTCTCCCGACAATCCTTGCGCAGCCGCCGTGGAGTTTTCGCGATCCGTTGCTGCTCGCGCGGGACCGAACGAGCGGCTTCGTCACTCTCGCCACCCCCTCGGAACCATTCGGGTGACATCGGGCTGCTCCGCTCTTTCCTCTCCTGTCAAGGAACTCTTCGTTCGTCCCTTCCCCTCCCTTCGGTCATAGCCGGAAAGGCTCGGGCCTCTTCGGCAAACGCCGTCGGACATCGCTTTGAGAAGCCTCTTCGGCCACCTTCGCAAGCTTTGATCGGAACTGGTCGGGATTAGTCGGGTGAGGCCGAAGCGTGGACTCGGAAACGATCGGAGGAGACGGGGGGAGGGGGAATTGGGAACGCGCTCTTCGGAGCTCGGGTAAAATCGGAAAGGCTCGGCTAATCTCTCGGGTTTCAACCCCCCCCCCCCTTCCAGGGAGGCCTCTTCGAATGGAGGACTCGGACTCGGCCGCGAAGCAACTGGGGCTGGCTGAGGCGGCGGCGGCGATGGCAGCGGCTGCTGCGGTGGCGGCCGCCGCTGTCGCCGCCGCGGCCGCAGACGAGTCCGAGCAGCAGCAGCACCCGCAGGCCCGCGGAGGGGCGCCTGGCTCGGAGGCGGAGCCCCAGGAGGAGGAGGAGGAGGAGACGGAGGAGGTGACGGCCGTGACCGTCGTGGAGGCGGGCGCCGAGCACCTGCAGATGGGCGCCGAGTCCCTTCCGAGCGCCGACGAGGCCGCTGCCGCCGCTTTCGCAGGTCAGCGCGCA